TAAAATAGGAAGTAAATACTAGGGAGATATGATTTACCTTGATTGTAGGAATTTGATTAGTCTTCTTTCCTAATATATTCTTTCCTAACATAGAATTTGTAACTTGTATATATACATACGAGATTAATAAATAATACAACAAATTCTTCTTCTTCCTCTGTTTACTCTTATTTTACACCCACCAAAACAGCAAGATAGGCAAGGGGTTGCCCAGTCTCTGATCCAATGAAAAGCACCACCACTCACCGGATGAGAAGCAACTAACAACTAATCTGGAGCATTCAAAAGATTGAGTATCTCCTGAAGGAATAGTCACTTGAAGCAACTAATTTCAGCTGTCAAGTCATGAAACAAGTACCCTACTTCATAAAGAGTTTCCTAGATGAAATCAAATTAAAGGGTGATGTTTGATATCGTTGAGCATTCGTCTAAAAGCTGCTCCAAGACGTGTAGCAACTAACAACAATCTTAGTAGTTAAGCCTGCTAATTTGATTCAAAATAAGCCTACTGCTAAATAATGTTATATGATACATTGAACAAACAAATAGTTCCATGAAACATCAGTGTAAGCACATAGTAAGGCTACAATCCAGGTAAACCATGGGATTTGTAACAGTAAAAAGAACAAATGCAAAGATATAAAGTCAAGCAATATGGGCCTCAAAATTTAGAGGCCATCTTTCTCCCTGTGCACCCATGAATCCATGACACATTTAATAGAAGCAGATGCTGTACAATAGCTTCCTCCTATGCTGCCTTTCAAATGAAGTTACAACGTCATCAATTGCGTCCTCCCATGAATCAACTGCTTCAATCTGTGAACCATGGTTACTGTTAGAAGACACCGTAGAAAACACATATATCTGAACTTGCATAAATACAATGAAAGACAATCTCACACCTCATAGCATAAATCAAGGGCAAGCCTAGCTCCCACAGCTGCTTCCTCATGGTTATCTTTTACATCCAAATTGATCACCAGTGCAGGCTTCATCAGGACATGCTCCCGATTGTTGAGATCTGCATAATTTTTATAGTTAGTAAGCTATTAAATACAAGTACACAACAAAGTAATCTATGAATTTTAAAATCAAATAGATTCTTTGCTCAAAGTAATGCCTGTCCTTGGCAACACAGCGGTTTGATGCAGATTTGTACTGATGACTTTTTACAGAATTTCTTTCATATGACATGCTTCGTATATCTTGATTTATCCAATGCATGGTGATTGGCTTCCCAGACAGTCCATCAGAAACAGTTTAGATAGGCCAAGTATCTTACACCCAGTGGCCGAGGTGGTGTCCTAAAAGGGTTAGCCATATCACTATGTCACCATTAAAGCGCCTTTTAATCTCTTACAAGTTCTACAACCTCAATATTGAGTAGTCTTGAAGCTCATGCCCAAATAGCACCCTTGGAACGATCTAGTTCCGCACCATCAGAAAATCCTAAGCATGCTAGATCTTTACTTATTAAATACAAGAAAAAGAAAAGCTTAAAGACTTCCAAAAATGAGATTACCATTCACTCTAATTGTCCGTTAGGGAAAACCAGTTCTATTCTTGCCCTTATTTCCATACTGCATGCTGAGGCCCTATAAAATATTTGTTATAGAATGAACACCAGATCTGTTTTATACTGTTATTTTTCAAGCTGATCTTGATACCATATAGTTAATAAAAACATCTGAAAACAAATATTTATTTCTCTACTTTTTCTGACCTTTTGAAAAAGCAAGCAATATTTACACCATAATTAATGGACAGAGTTTCTGGTAAAGAGTTCTTTCTTTAGATGGAAGAGGAACAAAGTTCAGACCCTTTTTTTCTTAATAAAATGAAGGAAACCTCTGATATCTGCATCAAAGTTAATTCATCAATGAATGGATTTTATCTGAAAGTGGATAAGTGTGTAGATTTGTATTTCTATGGTTTCTTTCATATTTTGGGGAAAGGATTGCCAAAGCCTAAAGCCATGGAGGAGGAAGTAAATATGACTTGTAACTTAATGGAGTATTTTTCAATTTTGTTGAATGAGGTCCCAAAAGGTTACTTCTATAGTTCATGAGAAGTTTGCCAAGGAGACCCATTCTCACATTTTTTTCTGTTCAGCGTTGTAGTAAAGGTCTTCAGAAGATGGTTCAAAAAACAAAGGAGGTGGGCATAATAAAAGGTTGGTGTTAAAGGCCCAGAGGTTAATCACACTGTTAACTGAAAAGTGCTTTTGTGATGCTCACAATTAATCTTTTTAATATTTGACATGAATATTGGTTTATCTTTCAGTCGCCTCAGCTCTCTAGCTTGTTTGTCATTTTTGAGATTTTTAAACTTATTTTATAGTATTGCTGCCTTTAGAATAGGTTTTCTTGTCTTGAAGGATTCTAATAATTTAAAAAATCATATGGAGGTTTTATAATTTTGAAAACTTGGCAATGTCATTTTTCTATCAGTCTATTTTCCAAGGGTCAAAACTTGTTAATTTCGTATTACTTTGGCATCATTACATAAGTTATTGAGTTGTTTTTTGTTTGCTTACTAGGATCAGCAAGTGTTATTAGAGCCATTTTAAGAGTCATCACTAATACAGTGTTCCTATGGATTGCCTATGAGTTTATGTTAGTTTTAACATTGTTAGTCTTGGCAATAAATCCGATTGAAATATGAAGAAGGAGAGAAGAGAAGGGAAGAAGAAAGAAGAGAAGAAGAAAGAAAGGAAGAAGAAAAGGTTTGGAGCAATGGAACAGTGCTGGCGGCGCCAGCTTCTATTATATTATATAGGACAACAGAAATAAGAAGGGAAAAGACTTCTGTGACCCTGTTGTAAGTGAAGTACAATAACAAAAAATAAAAAAAAAGCTTTAATTAGCCAAATAGACCCTAACAAAAAAGAACTAAATTATTTCAACACTCCCCCTCAAGTTGGAGCATAGATGTCAATCATGCCCAACTTGTCACACAAATCATTGTGCCACACATGATGAAGACCTTTGGTGAAGATATCTGCAAGTTGTTCTTCTGAGCTAACATATGGAGTACACACTTCTCCATTCACAAGTTTCTCTCTAATAAAATGTTTGTCCACTTCAATGTGTTTCTTCCTATCATGCAAGACTGGATTAGCAGCAATATTGATGGCAGCTTTATTGCCACAGTAGAGTGACATAGGGTTGCTCACTGCAAAACCCAATTCACCTAATAGATTTCTTATCCACATGATTTCAGCAACCCCATGAGATATTGCTCTATATTCTGCTTCAACACTAGATCTAACCACCACACTTTGTTTTTTACTTCTCCATGTGACCAGGTTTCCTCCTACAAAGGTACAATACCCACTGGTAGACTTTCGGTCATCAACTGCCCCTGCCCAATCAGCATCACTATACACTTCCACCTTTAAGTGTCCATGTTTCTGGAACAACAAACCAGCTCCGGGAAACTTCTTGAGGTATCTAAGGATCCTCTCTGCAGCCTCAAAGTGAGTTGTCCTAGGATTGTGCATGAATTGACTAAGGACACCCACTACATAAGCAATATCAGGCTTGGTCATAAACAAATACAAGAGTCTCCCTACAAGTCTCTGGAACTTCTTCATGTCTTTCAAAAAACTCTCCCTGACTGTCTCCCAGCTGATGATTAGATTCAATTGGTGAGTCAATTGGTTTTACCCCCCAACTTGCCTGTATCTTCTAGTAGATCTAGTACATATTTCACAATGGAATTGCACCCCTGAAAACAGCAAGGATAGGACTGACAGCAACGTCCTGGGTTATAGCCATTCCTGCCTGTAGAGTGGACCATTGAAGGTCAAACATACTTTACCCAATAATGGGGCTTCCACAAATATGGTGATGAAACTTGAAAGGCCTACAAAATTTGTGCAATTGCAACAAGTCAAGACTTCTAAAATGAGACTATCTTTTGCTATAACAGAACAGAAAAGGAGAACTAGGGATGTTGTGGTTCTGGTCCTGTTCATCCTTATCCTCTTTAATTCCTTTTCTGCTTTTCTAAGACTTTATAATGTTTCTTATGGAGAACAAACTTTAAATAAGCTTGTCCTCTTGTTCTTGTTATCTACTCTCCAAATGTTAGGTACTACTACAAGTTGTGAAAGAAAAACAATCTCTCTTTTGTTCTATATTCTTCCTTGAAAAATGGCTTCTCTTCATCGCAAGTCATTACATGGGATTTCTAAACAGTCTTCAGTATCTAGAGTAATACTGGGTAACAAAAGCGAAAAAAGTGAATATCATGAAGAATAAAATGGTACAAACAATGATAATTTTCATACCATTTATACCATGCCATTAGTTTCGCAGAATAGTTGGATACTTGACCAAAGTTGGGGAATATGATAAGTCAATAATCTATCAAAAAAAACTTAAGTCAATAGATGGATTTTTTTTGCGAAAAGGTAAAGTAATTTTATTAGAACAGATATAACACAACAGACCCTCCAAGGGAAGCACCTTGGACAGGGATCAGCCACCCCTAAACAACTTAACAACTGCCATAAATTCCTAGACCTCAACTGGGCCCCTAGTTCTTAAGCCTGAAGCCCCTTTGCAGCCAAAACCCCTGAGATCAGCTTTCCAAGTGAAGGAAGCATTCTGAAATAACCTTTTGTTTCTTTCAGACCAAATGGTGTTGATCACAGCATCCAGGATTGAAATCCACACACTACTGGCAAGCTTAGAGAGGCCATGCAGTTCCCAGCTCCACAGCATCTCAATCACTGTTCCAGGCATAGCCCAAGCAAGCCCCAAAGCTGATAAACAATGCCACCAAATAACTGATGAAACATAGCAATGGTGGAACAGATGATTAATGCCCTCCAAAGCTTGACGACACATCACACATCACTGATCCTGGATCTGTGACAAAAACACAGCTTTCTTTCATGCTTATATGCTAGTGCAAGGAGGAGGAGAAATTTCATCCCAAGAATTCAGGTGGAAGGAGATGGTGGAGCCCTGGAATGAAATCCAGGAGAAGGTGGTTGGCTTTCTATAAGGTTTTATATACTTCAAAAAAATGCTGAATGAAAATTCAACATCCTGGATTGAAAGAGAATTTGGGTTGGAGGAAGCCAAAGAAGCTTTAAAAGACATCAATGGGGACAAAGCCCCAGGCCCAAATGGTTTCAGCTTCACTTTCATTAAAGCTTGTTAGAATTGGCTGGAAAGAGATTTTGATCAAATGTTTAAAGAGTCCCATAGAGAGAAGATTTTGGAGAAGATGGTGAGTGCTACTTTTATTTCACTAATTCCAAAGAAGGATGGAGCAGTGGATTTAAAGGACTTTAGGCCAATAAGCGTAATCAGTAGCCCTTGTAAGTTATTGGCTAAAGTATAATCCAAGAGATTCAGGACTGTATTGCAAGAGGATGTAGGGGAATCTTTAGATAGCCTTTGTGGAAGCCTGGAAGGAAGGAAAATTTTGGATGGAGTCCTAGTGGCAAGTGAATGCATTGACTCTCGACTAAGGAGTGGAAAACCAGGTTTAGTGTGCAAGATTGACACCGAGAAGGCCTATGATCACGTGGAATGGGGATTCTTAGAAGAAATTCAAAGATTGTCGGGGTTTGGGAAAAGTGGAGGTCTTGGATGCATGCATGTATGTCTACAGTTTCCTTCTCAATCCTTATAAATGGCATATCCTCAGATTTCTTTCAAGCTTCCAAGGGCCTAAGACAAGGAAACCCAATATCTCCTATGCTATTTGTTATGGTTATGGAGATTTTGAATCTGCTGTTAGTGGAAAGCGGACAAATGAGCTTAATTGAGGACTTTAAGTTCGGAAGGGGTGTGCCCTGCATTACTCATCTGCAGTATGCAGATGATACTTTGATTTTTCTAGATGCAATGGTGGATCAGATGCTGAATTTAAGAGCAGTGTTGGCAAATATTAAAATGTTAAACATGGCTGAAGATTAATCTCTCCAAGAGCATAACAATTGAAATTAGAGAGGTGGGGAGGGATGTTATGTTAGAATGTGCTGATGCTCTTGAATGCATA